CGGGTAATGATCTCGACCATGGAGCGCGCCCCACAGGCGCACATCGGCAACCCTTGAGGGCAAACGCAGTTATTGGCGAGTTCTCTGAACCCCTGCTTGACGATCCGATCCTCGAGGGAGTGGAACGAGATAAAGGCGGCGAAGCCGTCGACCTTGACGACCTCGGGGACCTGCTCGACGGCCCTCTCGAGGTGAGAGAGTTCGTCATTGAGCGCGATACGCAGCGCCTGAAAGACAAGCGTCGCCGGGTTGATCGTCTGCTTTCGGCCGGGTTTGCTGCCGACCGTCGCGACGATGCTAGCGAGCGACGCCGTGTCTGTGATCTTGTCCTCTTGCCAGGCGTCGAGGATGACGCCTGCGAGCCTGCCGGCGTTTTTGAGTTCGCCGTACTTGTTCAAGATCCTGGCGAGTTCGCCGTGAGAGAGCCGCGAGAGCAGCTCCTCGAGCGTTTCGCCATCGGGGCCCATCCTCATATCGAGCGGGCCGCCCTCTCGAAAGGAGAAGCCGCGCGAGCTGTCATCGAGTTGATGAGAGCTGACGCCCGCGTCGACGAGCATGCCGTCGACGCGATCGATCCCGAGTTCTGCGAGGACGCGAGGCGCCTCGGAGTAATTCGCTCTGATGGAGCGAAAGCGATCTCCAAAGCGCTCCAACCGAACGCGCGCGACCTCGTGCGCTTCGGGGTCGCGATCGAGCGCGATGACCCTGGCGCCAGCGTCGAGCAAGGCCTCGGAGTGACCTCCACCACCGAGCGTCCCATCGAGGATGAGCGCGCCAGGAAAAAGATGGAGGTGTTCGAGCACCTCACCGACCATGATCGGCGTGTGATAAGAGGTCGCGTAGGTTGTGAGTGGATCTTGGCTATCGGCCACGATCACCTCGACACGTTGGGGTGGTTTGGCGAGCAATTGAAAAGGGAGGAGAGTGCCCATCCTTGGGCAATCACCAAGAAGCATCTCGACGACCCAGTGAACTTCGTCCTTGAAGACCTTCCCATTGACCCGTCCTTGCGTCTCCGACGCTGACACATGCGTCGGTCTCATCCGTGAGAAAGCCCGGTGTAACCTTAAATCGAACCACGTGACGTCAAGCAAGTGAGGGTGTTTTTCTCCCTGAAAAACTTCACTGCACCGCGTACGTGTTCGTCACCAACTTGTCAAAGACCAAACTTGGCCATGGCATCTGCCAGGGCCTTGGGATCCTCGAGCGCTGCGCTTGTGGCGTCCTGCCAGCGTGCGCTCGACCACAGCTCGATCGTATCGAGCTGCCCGACCCAGACGACCTGTCCGACCAAACCTGCGAAGTCGCGCATCGCTTGCGGTACCAGAAGGCGTCCGTGCCCATCCAGCGTGCATTCGATAGCTCCTGCGACGTAAACACGCTTGAGGCGAATCACGTTCGGGTCAAACTGTGGAAGCTGGCGAATCTTTTCCTCAAAGCGAAGCCACCTATCGTAGGGATAAGCGACGAGGCATTGATGAAATGTCTGCGTCAGTATAATGCGGTCATTCGCGCTCGCGGTGATATCCAGCTCGGCCAGGGTCTCCCTGAACTTTGCTGGAAGGCTCACGCGCCCTTTCGCGTCGATGGAGTGTTGATATTGACCTCGAAACACCAGCGCCCTTCCTGGACTGCCGGCGTCAGGGTCACACAACCACCCACGCCGCTCGTAACGATTGACCTCACCACCTTGGCAGTAATCTCGACAGCGACCATCCGTAGTCTTCCCATCTCTGAAATGGTCCGCCGGGCTGGCGATCCACTTCATGGGAATTTGTCCCACAGCCGCCACTATAGGAGGGGGAGGATCGGGCGTCAACCGACAAAACTCATAGCCAATCATTTCCCTTCTTGGCTATTTATGCGCCTCTCAAGCACTTCATGAAGCCCCAAAAAAACATTAAACAAACACTTTAACTTCGCCCTCCAAACGCGCCTCAACCCCTCCATTTATCCACGCTTGCGGCGAGTGGGAAAACCATCTCTCGAGAGCCCGAAAGCCCCCCGAACAAACATCTAAAAGACCCGAATCAAACACACAAAAGTGGCAAAAAATCACCAAACCTAAAGCTTTGCTTTAAGAAATTTTCAGCGCATTTTTTTTCCTTTCCTGCCCCTCTTTTTGATTTCGCTCGTTTTCCGATAACTGTTGCCCGCATCCGTGGTGATCATTCCTCACACCCCGCGTTCGGAACGCTTGAAAACGGCGCCTGCGCGCCCCCGCAACGCGCCTGCGCCCCGAAACGCGCCTGCCATTGTGAACCACCGAGTTCGGGTCTCTGGGGACAAATGAGTGGCACAGCGAAAGCGTGCTTATCTTGTGAGTTTCCCGCAAGATAAGGAGGTGGGAGATGCACGATGCCGTGTTAGACAACGCCCGTAAAATGACCCCGGATGAGACCGTGAACCTCTTGGAGGCATCTGGGATGTTTCTCAAGCCCTTCTGCGCCCTTCACGGCCTCTCTCCAAAGACGGTCAGGAAATGGCGCTCTCGCAGAAAGGCCGGCAAGCCCCTGCGCCTTGCCCCTGGCCTCAAGCCTCGTATCACTGCCGACCTCGAGCCTCTCTTCCTGGACATGATTCGCTCCAGGCCGTTCCCCAACCCCACACAGGTCGCGCTCGCATGGCAGGCCGAGCACGAGCCTCACCTTCCTCCTTTGAGGCTCAAGATCATCCGCGATTATTTCCACGCTCATCACCTTGAGTTTCAGACGCTCCCAAAACCTCCAAAGCCTCCCAGGCCTCCCAAAGAGAAGACGCCGCGTGTACGCACGAGGTCTGAGCAGAAGTGCAGGCAGGTACGCTTTGCTCGTGAATGCCTCCCGATTTATACGCCCGAGGAATGTGAAGAGCGCGCCAACAAAGCCAAGGAAACACGATACCAACCCCATCACCGCAGCGTCCCTGATAAGGACGAGGGGCAGGACTACCCCTCCGATCTCACGCATGCCCAGTGGGCGTTGGTGGCGCCCTTGTTCGAGCGTCCCTTTTCTCGAGGTCGCAAGCCTGCCAACGCGCGTGCAACACTCAACGCCATCCTCTACGTGCTTCACACAGGCACACAATGGCGCTTCCTGCCGCTGAGTTATCCAAAGTGGAACAGCGTGGCGCGAGCTTTCCAGCGGTATCGCGCCGCAGGGCTCTGGGAAAAGCTGAACGAGGCGTTGGTCCAGACCTATGAAGAAGAACATCCCTGCCAGTGGGCGCAGGTAGGCATCGCGGACTCTCAAAGTGTCGAGACCTGCGAAAAAGGGGGGTCCGCGGATATGACGGCCATAAAAAGAGAGATGGAAGGAAAAGACATATCGTGGTCAACCTCCATGGTTTCTTGCTGAGAGTGCACGTACATGCAGCCAACATCCAAGACCGCACGGGGCTCAAACAACTGTTTGAACGCGAAGAAGTGAGCGGTCTGGAGCTGAGCGCCTTGTTGGCAGACTATGGTTATGATGGCGAGCCCTTGCACAAGTGGTTGATGGAGCAAGAAGGCATCGAGCTCGCGATTGCGCGTCCAGGAGGAAGCCTTCAAGACGCACAGTATCAAGGCCTCATCCCACAAAAGGTGCGCTGGATCGTGGAGCGAACGTTTGCCTGGATGGGTCGCAAGAGGCGACTGGCCAAGGATCATGAAGCGATGGCCGAAACCACGCGCGCCTGGATGTTCCTCGCCATGGCTCAATTGGTCCTCAAGCGCCTCACGAGGTAATTTGTCCACACCCAGTCTGGCTTTGGCGCCATAGCATGGGTGAAACGGCGCGTTTTCTGCCCCCCCATTTTGCACTTCGTTTAAAATAGGGGGCAAACTTGGCGTTGGGTGCACGGTTTTTGGCTCATAGGGTGGCTTGTTGTGAGGTCGGTGTTTTGCTCATTGCGTCGGTTTTGCAGATTGCGGGGACAAGCCCCCCGCTTCCTCGCTAACGCTCGTCGCTGCCCCCCAGGTTTGGTGGGCTTCTTGTTACAGGTTGTGCAGAGTGCGAGGACACGCCCCCGCGCTTCGCGCTGCCCCCCAAAGTGGGGCGATCTCGTGGCTTCTTCAACGTTGGTGTTTTGCGCCGGGGCGCTTCGAGATCTGCGATGAGTTTCATGAGGGCGCCCGATGCGAACCTCGACGCCCAAATCCTCGCCAAGAAGCCCACCAAACCTGGGAGGCAGCGCGAAGCGCGGGGGGCGTGTCCTCGCCTTCTGCACGACCTTCAAGAAGAGCAAAACACCAACCTGACACCCAACGCCAAGTCTGCCCCCCTCCCGAGACCGCAGGTCGAGATACAGGGGGGCCGCGGACGAACGAGAGTGAGGGCCGCGGGGGGCGCACGAAGACATCTCACACCAAGAAAAACAAAGGGCCGCGACAGGTCTTCAAACCTGCCGCGGCCCTTTGCGTTCTACTCGTCCAACGCTCAGAAGAGCAGCAGCGACAGTACCAACAGCGTCACGCCAGTCACGAGCGCGATCCCGATGCCGAAGCTGTCATTGCGTAACGCCAGCTCGATCTGTTCGAGCATCGCCGCTTCGTGCGAAGAGCCTTCACGCTCGACGCTGCCCGTATCGATCTCTTTCAAGATCTCCCTGGCGCGCGCGTGATCCCCGCGCTTGACGGCAAGCGATGCCTCTTCTAGCCGAGGGGCGGACGCCGACGAAGGCTCGCTGCTGGAAGCATCCTGGCTCAAGCCTGTGCATCCTCGTTGTAGCGGATGTAGTGAGGGAGCACGCGGACCTTCTTGTGAGGCATGTACTCGACCTCGACCGTCTCGCTGATTGGGACCATCTTCTTGGAGACAAAGCACATGATCTTTTGCTCGTCCACCTTGGGGGTCTCTTCTGCTTGCTCCACGTTCTCTGCGGCTTCCTCTGCCATGATCGTCTCCTATCGGTTGGGTGTTCCTGGCAAATGACTCGCGCCAGGTTCTTATTCTAAACGCTTGGGCCCCGTTTGCCGTGCAGCAAATGGGGCCCATCTGATTATCAATGACGCTCGATGGCGTCAAGTTGCCAAACAAGGCTCAAGGCACGATGGGGTCGCGCGGGTTGTAGAGCTCGGCGCTGTCGAGCGCGACGAATACATCCCGCACCTTGCCCTCCCCTCCAACGACCAAAACCTGCCCGCTCGTCATCAACGAGAACGTCGCATCCCGACGATCCACGACGAACGAACCGATGTCCGCCGCGAGCAATTGATAGGGGTTGGGCTCGTCGAGACCGAGGAACTGGAGGCGCTCCACGCTCCCGATCGTATTGTTCGAAGCATCGCGACCACCAAACAACAAGATATCCTGCGTCTGCGGCAACACCAGCGCTTGCAACCCGCCCCTCGCCATTCCAAACGCCCAGGTCGGCCCCGACACGAAGCTCTCGAGCCCCTTCACGCCGACCTCGTAGGTCGCCGTCGGTTCGCCATCGAGCGAGGTGAACCCGCCAAGGACCACCACGCGCGTGCCATCGCCTTGCGAGATCTTTGCCGCGGAGAAAGCATAGCGCGCCTGCTTGAGCGCAGGCCCTGGCGTGATGTCGAAACCGCCGCCATTGGGCGTCACGATCTCGGTCGAGCCGAGCACCGCGTCGTTGTTGCGGCCTCCGATGATCCAGATCGAACCATCAGCGAGCGGGACGGCCTGGTGATCGGTGCGTGCGGTGTTGAGCGGAAAGCGCTGGTCGAGGACGCGCTGGTTGGCGATATCGATGACCTCGATATCACCCATGATGTCCTCGCTCCCCTCGCCGATGCCGCCGATCATAAGCAGCAACCCTGAGTCCTCGAGATAAACCGACTCGTGGAAGCCACGCGGCGCGAGCGTCTGGAGCGGGTTCACGCCAGTGCTATCCGTTACTGGCTGGACGCGCTGCCCTGGCTCGGCGTTCAGGTCGATCAACTCGAGCGAACGCACAGGACGCGTCACGTCGACGAGCGTGTTGTAACCGCCCGAGACGATGAAGCGATCGTTGCCAATAGGCGTCACCGTGTGGAAGGCGCGCGCATCGACCAGACGATCCGCGCCGTCAGGGCGAACCTGATCGCTGGCTTCATCATAGCTCAGGTCAGTAAAGTAACCGGTGCGCGGATCAAAGATCTGCAAATCACTGTAGACGTTGTCGAACTTGGGGATAGCGCCAGGGGCCGTGCCAGGTGTGACGTTGGCGCCACCGACGACGAGCACCTTGCCATCGCTCGTTGGCACCGCCGCGTGCCCAACCCTCCCGAGCCAGATATCAGTCTCTCCTCCCGAGAGCTCGAACGCGGAGCGGTAATCCATCCTACTCTGGATAAACGCCTGCTGATTATCCTGCCCCGTGACGACCGAACCGGCCGGCGCGAACGAATTGAGCGGCATCACCATCATGCGAAGCTCGCGCGATGACTGCGTCTCATCGAAGTCGAACTGTGGCGTCGCGCCAGAGGCCAGGACCTCGCCGGCGCCATTGAGAATATCCATCTCGAGGCGAAGGCCCGTGCCAAACGGAACATCCGGAATGCGCACCGAGCGCTCCGAGATTTCACCGTTGGCCTCCTCCAAAATTCGTCCGGCGCCCGGCTCGGTGACGCGCACCGAAACCACCGCCGCGTCCTGATACGCGGGCATCCCAGATACAAACGTATCCGCGCCATCATCACCTGGCCCCCATCCAAACAACGAGACGCGCAGCCTCTTGGGGTCTGATTGCTGAGGTTCTGGACCGCAACCGGCCACGACGCTCATGGCCAGCGCTGCGATCGCGCACACTCCGACTGCTTTCTTCAACGTGGCGTTCACCAGGACACCTCCGCGCTAAACCCATTCTCTTCTTCATCGGGCGAATCGTTCTGGAGCAAGAGCACCGTCCCGGTCACGAGACCACCGACGACGACAGCCGCGGCTGTCCCCATGCCCACATTGCGCATCAACTTGCGGCGCTTCGAACGATCGACCTCCGTGACCTCTGGTGGAGGATCGAGCGTCGTGCTCGTGCCAACGCCAGTCCCGGTGCCCGTCTCAGTTCCAGTCCCCGTACCAGCGATCACCACAGGATCTTTCTTCTCAGTCCCGGTGCCGGTACCAGTACCAGTCCCGGTGCCCGTCCCCGTATTCGTGGCCACTGGCGTGGTCTTGAGCGAGACCTGCACGACCGCCTGATCCTCGGGCATCGTCTCGAGCGCCTCGGCGATATCCTTGGACATCTGGTTGACGCCGAGCGTGAGGTTGGAGAGCTCGAAGTTGAACTTCGTGTCCTTGACCTGGATCAACTTGCTGTCTTTCGCGCGCCAGACAAATGGCGTGGCGATGTAGTTGCCGGCAGGATCTTTGTGCATCAACACCCAACCGAGGTAAGGCGCGCCAGCCTGCTTGGCCAACTCCGAGAAATATGGCTGGAGTTCGTTGGCGTCGAAGACGCCCTTGCGAAGCTGCGTCAGCAAATCGACGTAGTAAGAGGGCATCTCGTCCGAAGCGCCCTCTTCCCCGCCTGCGACCGCGCCACCGCTGCTCGCGATCTGAGCATCGATCGTTTGCTCCTTGCCCTTCCCTCGCACGCGGATCTGAGAGGCGAACACGCCCCCCTTTCCATCGCGCACGACGAGGTAGTGATAACCGAAGCCCACATCCTCGACCGTCGCCGGGGTTTGCCCCTTGACCACGCCGTCGATAAACACAGCGGCGCCCTCGACGTTCGAGGTGATGGTCAACTTACCGGGGCCAGCCTTTGTGACCTTGGCTTGCTCCTCGGCCAGGACCTCGAGCAGATCCTTGGGGTATTTTTCGGGGTTGAGCGTCGCCGCAGGGCGCAAGTGCGCGAACTGCTTCATCCGCTTTCGACCATCGAGGTCGTAGCCCGAGAGGAAGTAGGCGAGCGAGAGGTTGGCGAGCGCGTCGGCCAGCACCTCGTAGTTCTGCAAGTCGGAGAGGTTGGCCTCCATCAACTCCACAGAGCGCTGGAAGACCTCGAGCGCCTGCTCGTTCTCACCAGCAGTCAACAGCCCGATGCCCTGAGTATAGAGGGTCTCGGCCTCGTAGATCACCGCGCTCGATTGCCCCTGCCCGGCGAGCCGCTTGCGGATCTCGCCAAAGCTTGGCATCAGCACCACGCGCCCCTCTTCCTTGAGGCGCTTTCTGGTCTGATCGTCGACGCGCTCCGAAATCAGAGAGCTGATCTTGTCATCCACCCTGTCTGTAGGAAGGAGCAAAACCTTGGGTTTTGGTGCCGGTGGCTTGGCCACCGGTTGCCCCTCACCCTCTGCCGGGGCGCCTTCGCCCTCGCCAGCAGCTGGTTCGCCTTCCTGCGGCGCGCCCTCGGCGCCCGCAGCTTCTCCTTCGCCCTCTGCGGGCTGTTGCGCCCACCCCGTCGCCGGGAGCCCCATCACGAACGCCAATAACAGCGCCATGATGAGGGATGGCCAACGCTCCTTTCCACTAAAGCTCATTCGTCGTAACCTCTCGTATGGGCGCGCGGTCTAACCGCGGTTCTTACGTCCCCGTGCGCCTCTAAAAATCGACGTGTTGGTCTATCATGCACGTAACATGGGAGTCAACGTCTCCCCCATCCCCTCCCCATCTCGAGCGCCGGAAGTGACCTTGCGACTGAGCATCGCCACCAAAATCTCGCTCGCCTTCTCCATGATGGTCATCGTCTTTACCATCGTGATCATGGCAAGCATCTGGAGAACACAACAGCTCTTTGGCCAGATCCAGGCGCTCAATCAGAGCATCATCCCCCTCTCTCTGATCCTGAGCGATGCGCAAAACGATCTCAAGAGTTTTGATGTCGCGCTCTCAGAGCCAGAACCAGAAAACCTGCGGCGAGCGCTCCAGTTAACCAGGATGATGGCGCGTGTTCCACAGCGCGTCTTCACCAAACTTCGCAAGGCGTCCGAGCTCTCGGACAACGAGCCCCTCACGCGCATGGCCGAACCCGAGCGCCTGCGACTCCAGGATATCCAGCGAAAGCTCACCCGAATCGTCGAGACCGCCTCGACGCTCGATGCCGACACACATCATCTTCAGACATTGCTCCAACAACGCCAGCAATCCTCGGATAAACTCGCGCTCGATGACGCCATTCAGATCCAGCGCGCGGCGTTGCGAAAAAAGACCCAGAAGCTCGACCTCGAGCTCACGCGCGTTCGAAACGATCTGCGCATCTCCACCGATCTCGCCCTCGTGCGCGCCAACCAATCCGAGCGCACAAACCTCTACGCGCTCGGCGTGATGAGCGCCATCGCGCTGCTCGTCACGCTGACCATGTTCGCCGTGGCGCTGCTCACGGTCCGCCCTCTTGGCGCGCTAACCGAGGGCGTCAAACAGATCGCCAGAGGAGAGTACCACACGCTCGAGAACCGCTCGCCAGGGCGCCTCGGACGGGATGAGATCGCCACCCTGACCGAGGAGTTCAACTCGATGGCGCGCGCGCTCGACGCGCGCGACGCTGCGTTAAGAGAACAACACGACGCACTCCTGAAAGCGGAGCGCCTCGCGACCATCGGTCGCATGACCAGCCTGATCACGCACGAGCTGCGCAACCCCCTCTCGAGCATCGGGCTCAACGCCGAGATGATCATCGCGCAGCTCCTCGAGCTCGAGGGCGAGGAGCGTGAGGATGCGCTCGCGGGCCTCGAGACGATCATCGCCGAGGTCGACCGCCTCCGCGATATCACCGAGGAGTACCTCGTCTACGCCAGGTTGCCCGAGCCAAAGCTCGCCAGCCATGACCTCTCCGAGTTGCTCGAGCAAATCATCGACTTCCACGAGTGGGAATGGGGTCAGGAAGGGGTCGAGGTCGAGCTGACCTTGCCCGATGAGCCCGTCATCCTCGACGCGGACGCGAACCAACTCCGCCAGGCATTGCTCAACCTGATCAAGAACGCCGTCGAGGCGTCCTCGAACACCGAGGATGCCCTGGTCGAGGTCACGCTCGAGCGTGACCTCGATAAGAGCACCGCGCGCGTCTCCATCAAGGATCACGGCGAAGGCATCCCCGATGACATCCAGGGACGCATCTTCGAACCCTTCTTCACCTCCAAGGTAAAAGGAACCGGCCTCGGGCTCGCCATGACACAGCAAATCGTCGTCGAGCACCATGGCCAGGTCTCCCACAAGAGCAATCAGGAGCGAGGGACGACCTTCCAGATCACCCTCCCCCTCCCAGACATCCCGACGCCAACCTCCGAGGAGCCCACATGATCCGATTGATGACCTACAACATCCGCCTCGGCATCCAACAAGGTCTCAACGCGCTCGCCGAGGTTATCCGCTCGCACGACCCCGACGTCGTCGCGCTCCAGGAGGTTGGCCAAAACTGGAAGATGGGCCCCGCAGGGGACACGACCCCCGCGCTGGCCGAGATCCTCGGGTTCGAGCACCACCGGTTTATCCCCTGCATCGACGAATCCCCCCACTTCTATGGCCACGCCTTCTTGAGCAAGCACCCGATCCTCGAGAGCGAGGATCAGCTCCTGCCAAAGAACGTGGACGAACCGCGCGTGCTGACACGAAGTCGCCTCGATACACCTGATGGCGTCCTCACGTTGTTGACCACGCACCTTAGCTGGATCGAGGATCGCGAGGCGCAGGGCGAGGTCCTCACGGACCTCGCCCTGCGCCTGCATGAAGAGGGGGAGCACGTCGTGGTCATGGGGGATCTCAATGAGGAGCATCGCCCGGACTGGTTCCAGCGCCTGCTCGAAGTCTACCAAGATGCTGACGCGAGCCAGCAGCGCCTGACCTTCCCCTCGGAGAAGCCACGCATTCGCATCGACTACCTGCTCACCAACAGGGGAAAGTGGGAGGATGTGCTCGTCACAAAAGAGCGGGAGGCGTCTGACCACCTCCCGCTCTCGGGGTTACTCGTGCCTTGATTTTCGAGGGCTCGCTCAGGCGAGCTCTTTGAGCTGCTTCTCGAGCTCGTCGCGCTCGAGAATCACTGCGGCCAGCGCCTCCTCGAGCTCCTGGATCTGCGTGGAGGAATCATCGCCACCGCCGCCTTCTGCGGCGGCTGCCTCGAGCTCCTCGATCCGGTTGCGAAGCTCCTGATTCTCCAACTCGAGGACTTCGTCGCCCTCTCCTTCCTCGACCGCCACTTCGAGCAGCTGCTCGAGCTCGACGATCTTGGCGCGGAGTTCTTCCGCCTCTTCGCTATCACCTGCTCCCTGTCGCAGCTCCTCGAGCTCGGCCTCGGCGCTCTCGAGCTTCTCGGCCATCTCGCCGAGGCTGCGCGTGAGCTCGGTGGAGTCCCCCTCGAGCTCGGAGATGTGTCGATTGGCTTCTTCGAGCAGCTCCTGAACCGCGCTGAGTTCCTCTTGCAACTCGGAGACCTGCTCTGGCTTCGGGCCGGAGTCGAGCTGGGTGTTCAGGTCCTGGATTTCCTGCTTGAGGTTGGCGTTCTCCGTGACCAATCCCCGGAGTTCGGTGGAGAGATCCTTGAAGGCGGCCTTCATCTTCTTCTTCTCGCCCTCGAGCTGCTCGTTCTTCTTTTGCAGCTTCTCGGCCTGATCGCCGAGCTTGCGCTTTTCGACCTGGAGGTAATCGGTCTCGCGAGCGAAGGCGACCTTCTCTTGCTTGAGCGCGTCGCGCTCGCGCTTGTAGGAGTCTCGCTCCTCGCCGATCGTGTCATAGCGCGCCTGCACATCGTCGAGGATCTGCTGGGTGCTCGTGAGACGCTCGGAGAGATCATCGCGCTCGGAGATCAGTGTATCGCGCTGTGAGACGACCTCGTCCAGCTCGCGCTGGAGGCGCTGCACTTCCTGATGGAGATGATCCACATCCTCTGGAACGGGGCGGCTTTCGAGCTCCGCTTCGAGGTGCGCGACGGTTTGCGTGAGGTTCTCGATCTGACCGCTGTTTTCCTCGAGGCGGCTGAGCAAGTCGCCGATGCGCTCGTCGCGCTGCTCGACGTCGGACTCGCGCGCTCTGAGGTTGGCGCGAAGATCATCGATCAGGGCGTCGCGCTCGGCGACCGCGCTCTCGAGGGAATCACTCCCACCACGCAACGTGTCGACGGTGTCCTCGAGGGACTCGATCGTCGCCAGCGCGTCCTGATAAGAGGTGTTGGTCTGCTCGAGCTCGACGCGCGTCTCATCGAGCGCGGTCTCGAGGTTATGGATCGTCGCCTGAGACTCCTGCGCCGAGGCTTCCGTCTCGGAGTAGTGCTCGCGAAGATCATCGAGCTCCTGCTGGAGCGCCTCGATCTGACCGTATTGATCGTTGATCGTCTCGTCGCGCGATTCAATATCGGCGTTGGCCTGACCGAGCGCCTCCTCGAGTTCCACAGAGGTGTTGCTCTGGAGCTCGAGGTCCTCCTCGATCTGCGCGACGTATTCGGGATCGGGCGCGTCCTCGAGCTCTCGCTTGAGATCGCTGATCTGACGCATCAGGTTGCGACGCTCGTCGGAGAGCCTGTCGCGCTCCTTACGAAGACGCTCGAGCTGGAGGCGAGAGGCGCCACCAGCGTCAGACGCGCTCTTATCGAGCGTCTCGCGCAAATCATCGCGCTCGCGCTCGAGATCGGTCACGCGAACCTTGAGGTCCTCGTTCTCGCTGCGCAAGGCATTGAGCTCCGCGCTGTCGACCTGGACACCGCCTGCACCGCCTGCGTTGGGGGCCATGCCACCGCCGCCGACGGGGACCGCGGCGTAGTCGCCGCTCCCGCCAGGTTGGCCAAATCCGCCGCCGCCGCCGCCATAGACGGGCTCGTCTTCGGGTGGCGGAGGCGCGATCGCGCCTCCCCCCATATTATCGAACGCGGCATCCGCCGCGGCGGAGACCTCTTCATAGTCATCCTCACCGACGTAAACTTCGGGGAGGATCTCGTCATCATCGTAGTCGCCGGGATCATAGATAGGCACGGAGTCTTCAGGTTGATACTCCTGCGCGCCAAAGCGTCCGCCGCCTCCGCCACCGAGCGGTTGCGCAGCGTAAGGATCGCCGCCTCCCAGCGAGTTCTCCTCGAGCCCTGGGTTATAGGGCTCGGGCTCGACAAAGGGAGGATCGGTCGCGCCGCCACCGAGGGGCTGCGCGGCGTAAGGATCACCTCCGCCCATCGGCTGCGCGGCGTAAGGGTCTCCACCCACGGGCTGCGCCGCGTAGGGATCACCGCCCATCGGTTGAGCAGCATAAGGATCGCCGCCACCTACGGGCTGCGCCGCGAAAGGATCTCCTCCTCCCGCGGGTTGGCCGCCGTAAGGCTCGGCTCCGTATGCTGCCCCCGCTTCGGGGCCTGTCGCCTGGAAACCGCCCAGGCTGGTCGAGGAGCGGGGAGGCTCGGGGGCTTCTTCACCCCCTTCCAGGAAGTCGAGTGGGAACTCACCCACACGAATCCTGTCCCCGTCCACGAGCACTTGGCCCTGAACTCGGTTGCCATTGACATACGTCCCGTTCGAACTCTTGAGAT